TATAGGTATGTATGAATAAATATTTGTATATTCTATAAATAAATAAATTTACTGACTTGCATAAATATGATATTTAAGCAAGTCAGAAGGTTTGTTTATGTATTTGTTATAACTTACAAATAATGCCGCATTTGTTTTTATTTAGCGTGGTTTTAAATAGGATAAACATTAAAGCCAAATATAAAACGCACCAACGTCATCCCATTAAGGACGGTAGAAAATATATGGCTAACATATGGTTAGCACACGTGATCCGCATAAAACTTTGACGCAAAAATGAAGAGTGGCATTCATTCCTATTTAGTGTGGCTTTAGTGGGATTTATATGGGAACATTATAGCCACATATGGTATGCTCCAAAGCCCTAAAGAAGAGTGGTGAATATATGGTTAAAATTTATCGACAGATTTAAAATTTCATACTCGTTAAAAATATATTATTGTTTGCAATTTTTGATTCTACAGTTAACTCCAAAAACTAATTTTCAAAAGTCAAAACTTTTAAACGGCATGTTTTTTTGGAATGATATTTTAAATTTGTCAATAGTTTTTGATTCTAATAAATTTTAAAAGAAAAAAAAATTTATAAACGTTTTAAGGGCGTTACGTTAGGGGCGTGTTGTTAAAGTTTTAATATGATTGGGTCAAATCACTGGGACACAAATGAAACGAAGATTGTTGTTTTTTTATTGTGGTTTTTAGTGATATTTAACATAACAAGTTATTAATAACTCTTTTATATTTTACAAACCAACTTTTTACAATAAATTATATACATAGTTAATCAATAAAACTTTTGGAAAAGAAAATATTGCGAAAGTTATATGAAACAATAGCTATATGCAATCTTTTTGAGTAATATTTCTGAAATTTAGATACCTTGTAACCATTTTTTGAGAACTGAGTAAAACTATGTCATAAAATTCTGAGGGTGTTTGTTTCTTTGTAAATAATTTCATAAATGGATTTTTTTAATATTCTTCTGTATGTTTACCAAACCGTGTTTATAAAATGTTACATGTGTAACTACTGTTTTAATTTTTTTTTTTTTTTTTTTTTTTTTAATGTTGATTTTAGGTGCCCCAAGAAGTCCTTACGGTCTTATCACAGAGCACCGCGGAAGAGCATTTAATAGGAAGTTCACGCCTCCTTCCCAACCGATGTCGCAAAACCTGCCCAGAGGTGGGGTTTGAACCACGGATCTTACGTTTCTGAGGCAAGTGCGCTACCACTGCGCCACGGCTGCTACCAATTTGTAACACGTCAGATTAAATAACCCTAAAAAAACACTTGTTATTGCTAAAATATTTGAAATTGG